ACTTGGGTGAATAGCTCCCTTGAGTCCAATAAGCCATAACAACAATATGCAGCTTTAATTAGTGTTTAAGGCTAATTATATAATATGAGAAGTTTTTTGGGGCCAAACGCTCGCAGTTGGCCATTTGGCTTTGCCATAAAATGACGTCGACGATGTCAAAGGCAAATTTAGCACCGTACAAAAACCAAAGAAAAAACAACTTTAAAACTGTGCACGGCTACGTTCCGGCAGCAGCTGGCTTCTAGTGCCCTTTAACCATTTACCCCGTTGCCCAGGCGCCCCCGCCCCCACCCCGCACTTCTTACACCTTGTTCTGGGCAAAAATACCAAAAATAAGTAAACGCAGCTTAGCAAATTGTGCGCTGCCAACGACTTGAGTTTTATTTTTATGTTGATGCAAAAACTTTACGTGCTCAAGTTTATTGAGTGGCTCCTGTGTATGAAATTTAGTTTGTGTGCGTATGTCCATGTGTGTGTGTGTGTGTGTGGTGTGTGTGATGTGTGTGGTGTGTGTGCCAGTTAAATGGATAAAGCGAGGGCTAAGCTTGGGTCGCCCAACAAAAGCCACTCGTCTTGGCTTAATCAGCAACTGTCTGCCTGGAGACATCGAGTTTTAATGTTCAACAATTCTATTTGAGCACGCGAATTGCCTATGTGTATACCCTGCAGATATTGAAGCTAGAGTTGTGCAAGGCAGTTCAGGTTTGCTTGAAGAATAGAATATGCTGCAGCCCATTTCATTATCAAACATACTTAAAAACAGTTGCAACAGGTTTGGCAGGCACACATACATCTAGATGGTGTTTTAAATAATAAACAACGAGAAAGTAAGAATTAAGTCTTAATACCCTTGCAGACATTTCCCTTTTGCAGATATGTCAGAATAGTGGAGCTCGAAAATGCTGATGAAAAAAGATCCTACTATTCGACCTATTATATAGTGGTCCGATGTTAATAAGAGCTTGCATACATATAAGAAGCATAGTTAAACTTTTAAATGCCGAATTTGGGTACATTATTCCTATGGCAGCTATATTGTATAGTTGTCCGATCCGTCAGTTCCGACATATGTACAGCCTGCAACAGAAAGACGGGCCTATGCAAAGTTTCAAGACGATAGTTTTAAAACTGAGAGACTAGTTCGTATAGAAACAGACAGACCGACAGACGGACACGCCTATATAAACTAGGATGTTAATGCTAATATAGAAAAAATATACCTTATGGAGTTGGAGATGTATCCTTCTATGCGTTACATATTTCATGAACAAATAATTATACCCTCTACAAGGGTATTGAAAAGACTTATAGCCAAGAGGCTGACATGACTGATTTGTTAAATGATTTTATATGTTTCCTATTTGTAAAATATATTATGTTGCCCCACATTGCAAACTATTCCACAGTTAGCATACTATGACCTCCGCCTAAGAGCCATACACTAGCTTAAGATGTTAGATTTCATCAAATTCAATATATGAATTCCTTAAGAGCTGAGCCCGTGTCAATATATATTCAAATTTAATTAGATACATTTGAATATTGATAAAATGGCAAATGCGCAAAATGCAATGCTCATAATCAGATCGGTTACATTGAGTAGGTCCGCTTGACCTGACGCTGCCAGCAATATTACTTTGCATATTCATAATGGTGGAGAGAGTCGTAACAGCGCAATATCAGATGCCAGGCAAAGTAAAAGTCTTGACTGCGGGCGCCTCAATTTTTAATGAAGCCAACGCAGCGCAGCAGCAGCAGCGGCAGCAGAAGCGGCAGCAGCAGCCACGCCCTTATGGCCATAAAATGAAATGGGGAAATTGGCGCCCAGGGGCCACGGCCAGGAGCTGCTAAAAGAAAGACCAAAATGTTGCATCACTTTTTAACGGACATTGCAAAAAGCCATTAAGCAAACTAACACCAAGTGGGCCAAAGCCGCACTCGTTCCCCATTGCAGCAGCGACTCGCAACAACAGCCAACGGCTTCAAGTCCAAGTCCAACTCCTGCTCTCCAAAAGCTATCTACGAATACGAATATATGTATATATTCAAAAGCCACGCATTCCCGTCGCCCCACGCACAATCAAAGGCTTTTCAGGCCAGCTACCAAATGACTTCTTGTTGTCCAAGTTTGTGATACCAAACTATTTCACACACTTAAGCATTCAGATAATATTTTGGGACATGCGACAAACTTGTGTCGTTTGTGTCTGTCTTTGACATTTAGACACTAAACTGAAAGCCCGAAACAGAGTCTGCTCGACTGTGTGGCTTATTTGATTAGTTTCGAATAAATTTAGCAGCTGCTAGCACGATTTTAGCCTAGAATTCGTTTTGCGAAAATATTCCAAGCGTATATTATATTATTATTTAAATGTTTATGGGTTTTCCATATTGCAAAATAAATCAATTAATTTAATTACTGTCCTATGTTCCTAACTATGAAAGCCTGGGTACAGTGCGTAAGTACATAAAAGCATAAATTGACTTTGAAATTAAGTATATGTATGTGTGTAGGTCTGTGCATAATTACAAATGTAATTGTGCTGCGACTATTAAAGCAGCATTGACAAGTATTCAGAGTTTTCAAGGCAATTGCAAATTAATAATCACACACACACACACACCCACACACACACAACACACGTGTTTGTCTGAAAGTCTTTCTATAGAACAAAACATAAGAGGCTTAAATACTTTTAATTAGAATTTGTCTATTTTTCGACTGCATTTTGGCAAGTTCTGAAAGCGGGAATTCAAAATACCAAAAATAAACAAATGAATGAACTTAAACACGTACACACACACACACACACACACACAAACACACGCAGTTACAATTAAGTTTCTATATTTCTGTTATCAGTGTACGTGCGCATGTGGGTGTGTGTTTGTGTGTGTGTGTGCTAGAGTGTTTGCCCACAACTACATTAACACTTTTTGGCTTTGACTTGATTTGCACAAAGCAGATGAGATGCTTCTGTTTGTCTAGCGCCCTCTTTTGTTTGGAACATTTAAATGAGAAAACTTTTATCTAGACCCCCCGCCTGTACACTTGCCTCTATCTCTCTCTCTGCCCAGCTAGGCATCTATCCACACATTCGCGCTCTCTCTCTCTCTGTCTGTTACATAAATAACATCTAAGAGTGAACTTAACAGCCAAATGACGCACATTGGTCCAGGAATATCAAAAAATACTCGTATTTACCCAAAAGTCAAGTAAAGCAATGTTTTTTTTTTTTTTATTTTTGGTTTGTTTACTTTTCTGAACTCTGCAAGTTACACACAAGTTATGCGTGAGTTTTATATGACTTTTTATTGACAAAATGACAGCATTATGTGGCCAGCAGTCACATAATGATACTATAGTGCGAGTAAAGTACACTGCGTATTTGTGCATACCCTGTATTTGGGCAGCACACTTGAGAGTTCATGTTTGAAGTTAAGAAAAGCTGCCATGCATCCATGCATTTCTACAACAAAGATGTCAAAATTAGTTCGTTGTAACTGATTTAGAGCTCGGAAACGGGTTTTTATTAAATTTAGTTACTTTAGAAATTAGAAATAACCCTGTAGAATTTTTTTTAAGTTAAAATTTTAATAATTTAGATAAAAGAAATAGCCCTGTAATAGTGGAAGCTTTTTTTCAAGAAGTTGAAACATTAGATATATCAGAAATAACACCGAAATCTGGATATATTTTTGGAAAAATTCAAAAACATCAAAAATTAGAATTAGCCCTTATATCGGCAAATATCTTTTAAAAGGTTAAACATTTTGAAATATCAGTAATTAAAAATGAACCTGAATTCGGGAAATATTTTTTGATAAGTTATTAATTTAGATATATCAGAAATTAGAAACAAGTTAATAATTTTGGATATATCAGAAGTAAGAAATATGATAACTTAAGCGACAGTTGGGCATATCCTTTTTTGAATTAAGTCAACAGATTTCTGCTAGAATCCTTAACATAAAACAAGCTAACGTTTTCTGGTATGGATTGCCCGACTAAAGATACTTTGGTGCCTAAAGTCCGAATCCTTATAAGGTTTTTAAGGCTTTAGTATCGTAATATGTGTATTGAACAAAGCACACGGATGTAGATATTAAAATTTTATTTTCAATTCTTATAAGTGAAATATTCTTTATCGATGAACAGCCTACATACAGGGATTAGAGTTGAGATCTTCTAAGAAAGTTCTTTACTATATCATATAGCTTGGATGAGAATATTCGATAAGAAAAAGATTGTGATATTGAAGCTCAATTGCCAACAACTGCTGCAAGGGTATTCCTGGAACGGTACGCCAAATGTTTACGATTTTTTCTTACTGTAGATGTCGTTACATACTTACATGTAAGCAAGAGCAAGTTGCTGTCATCGCCAGCACATAAAAAACTTTAAGCAACAAAATCGCATAAACTGTTGTTAAGTGAAAGTGCGATAAATCAATTTGTAATTGGGCCAAGTTTTGCCTGTTGGCCTGTTGGCCGGCTGGCCTGCTGGCCTCTGTTTGTCTATTGGTATTCCCACCCGGACAACAGACTACCGCTCGTTTTAACCCAAGTATATATGGTCAGATACATATGTGATTTCACTTTTGGGGACAGCCACTGAGCGGTTTTGTTGAGGACTTTTGGCGAGCTTTAGCAGTATTTAGTGTATATATATATATGTATCTATAGATACGACATAAGTATGCATGTAAGTGCGTATAAGTATGTTTTTTGCTCAACTTGATGTTGTTGTTATGGTGATAAAATGATTACATTTTGCAGCCTTTTTGGTCAACAGCTTAAGTCTGTCTATGCTGGACTTTGATACAAATCCCCCCGAAAGTATAAGAAAAACAACAACAACGACTTAGACAACACACACACACATACTTTTTGCAAGTACAAGCATTTAGGATTAAGTACCACATATATATATACATACGTATATACGTACACAAATCTGACAAGCTGGTAAATGTATATTTGCTTGATTTTATTTACAGCTGGATCTACAATTACAGGATGAAGCGGGCGGCGACATCTCCAGTTTCATAACGAATGGCGAATGGGACTTGTTAGGTGAGTTGAGATAAATTGTATTTAAGAGCATTTTTTAATAATTTACTAATTCCGAACATACACACATATACACCACACATTGAGGGCGTAAAAAAAAACTGATTAAATAACTATTTGAAACTGTTAAACAAGAAAATTAACTAGCTCTAACTAATGAATAAATATTGCTTACTAATTAATGACTCTGAATAATTCTCATTTTCTCTTCTGCATACGCCCATCTCATTTGCACCCAATAACCAAAATTCCAACAACAACAACCACTACTACAACAACAACAACAACAACAACCACCACATCTAAATTATACCCAACCAGGTGTGCCCGGTAAACGTAATGAAATCTACTATAATTGCTGCCCAGAACCTTATATTGACATAACATTCGCCATTTTGATACGACGGAAAACTTTATACTATTTTTTCAATTTGATTGTGCCGTGCGTATTGATCGCATCGATGGCACTGCTAGGGTTTACACTGCCACCAGATTCTGGTGAGAAGCTCTCGCTTGGTAAGTGTCCATCTAATACACACTCGAATCCAGAAACCAAAAAACCAAAAACCAAACTAAAACTGAAACAGAAACAGAAACTGAAACCGAAACTGATATCCTTATCCATTTGCTCCAAAGTGTTTCGATTTTTTAATTGTTGACTTTCTGTAGGAATCTTTGCATGCTCTATAAATCAAATTTCATCTATATGTATAAGCATAACAATACACCAGAAACCCCACACACACACACACACACACGCATACAGAGTTATATTATATTTCACTTACATTTGAAAAACGGAAGCCCATTCGCTGCAAGAGGCTGCTGGCAGCAGTAGTAGCAGTAGTAGTAGTAGTAGTAGGACACAAGTTGACTGCCACCATATTCCACACATTACGTATACGCCATAGAGCCTTGACTAACTATGCAAATGCAATGCAATGCAATGCAATCCAATGGCCGACGGCAATGGCAACTCTGGCAGCAAACAAACAAAGAGCGAGCAAGTGTGAGCCTCGGCTCACAAAACAGTCGCCATCATTTGTAATCAAAGTCAACGCTGGCAAAGTGAAAAATATGGCACAGCTGCTGGCCCACCTTTTCAGGACGAGAATAGGACGCAAATGCAGGACGACAGACGACGGACAGCAAATGAGCACAGAGCCTTGAACCCTTGAACCTCAGTTGCAACCATACTAGTTAACCATGTCAAGCAACGCAACTAAAATACAAATATTTGCAATACATTTATATATATATATATATATTTATATTTATATAGATGTATATATATAGAATTTCTAGTGCCTAATGCATCCAGCTCAGTCAACAAGCACAAGGATACTAGCCCGACTTGACACAATTGCTGTCCAATTTTCGAGCTGCGAGATTAATAGATTCTAATCGATATCTATCCAAGCAAAAACGACATTGACAACTTCAGAATTTAATTTAATTTAGATATTTGATTCAATTAAACATTTGCAGTAGTATTGAATAAGATGTTGGAATATGTGTTGCATTTCTTATGAAAATTAGGACAAGGAAACTTTCCATAATATACATGACTTGAAAATACTACAAAGTTGACTTTTGAATTCTTTGCTTTCTTGATATTGATATGAGTATTGTGATCTGTTGATCTAAAGAGGTTCTGCTGCCACCACGATGCCATCGTTCGTGTCAACTTTTGCCAAGACACACACACACACACACACGCGCACAACCACACACACACACACACTCGCGCACACATTAAGCTGAGAAAGTTATGCGAAAATGTGGCAAAATGCTTTGCAGCTCATATCCTGAGCATGTGCGACTACACGACACACGCTCACACACACATACAGAGAGAGAGACGACAGACATTGGCCATGACCATGGCTATGGCTATGGATGTGGCTCATCACGTACTTTCAACACGCAGCATATGGTGCATGTCAAAATTTATACAATACTGCTATACAAAAATACTTATATAAGTATATATACTAGATATAAATATATCGCGTTTATGAGCAAGAGCTGCAAAAGTTTTGCTTGCAGCTGCCAGAAAACAAAAAAATGGCCATATTTTAAAAATTGTTCATAGCGAACACGGCCCCCTTCTCAACATGCGTGTCCGCGTGTCTGTCTCTGTGTGTGTGTCTGTGTGTGTGTGTGTGTGTGTGCGAGCATGCATGTGTGTGTGTGTGTGTGTAGCCAAACGCATTAGGGCTGCCAGCCATGGCTCATGCATAATAGACAAGTTTGCGTAAAACCCTGTGGCTAATTTATGTTTGCCCGACACTCTTGGTGGCCCTGCGCTGCCCCCCCCCCCTTCCCCTCCTCCCACCATTACCCCTCTCTCTCACTCTGTACCGCTCAGCCAGCTGACTTTTCACATAATTTATATAACCTCAAAAGAGCAAGCATAAAATATGCGCAGGACACCAAAAAAATAAAAAAGATAATAAAAAAGATAAGGCTAAGCACTCACTGACAAACGCCAGCTGCCAAAAAGAAACCCGCAGCAAAACCATAAATAATGATAAGTTCCAGGCTATATGACAATAACGCGTATGTGTGTGTGTGTGTGCGAGTGTGTGTTATTTATTTATTTTTGATTTGATTTGATTTGATTGAGAACTAGTTTTCTGACGGCAAAATTGAGAACATACTGTTGACGGACTTCTTGAGGTTCAGCGCAGAGAATACGGTAGTAGTTTTTTATTCAAAAAACGCATGCCACAATGTGGGACCAGTCGCAATTCTATCATATACAATATGCCATCCTTGCAGCAAGGCAGCAGCACGCAACGCTGGAGCAGCGGGCAGGATCAGGCTGGATCAGCTGTCGTGTACTCATTTCTAGTTTGGCAACTGTAGTGCTAACAGAACTAGTCCAATACAGTTATACTATAATAATAATAATAATATAAATTTATAATAATAATATTAATTTCTTTCTCTATCAACCCTTTCTCTCTCCCTCTCTCTCTCTCTCTATCTCTGTGTCTTTCTATGTTTTCTTGTTTTCTGTACCGATTCAAAACTACATTCACAAACTCACACGCACACACACACACACACACACTCACATGCACACACAATTACAAATGGGCGCGCAATAATTTTGTGCTGCATACTTGCAGGAGTTACTATTTTACTATCGCTCACAGTCTTCCTGAACATGGTAGCGGAAACGATGCCAGCGACATCCGATGCCGTGCCGCTGCTGGGTAAGTAGAGGCAACGCCATTTGGCGTTGGCCGCTGGCGCATTGCCATGGGAGCTCTCTGACTTCAAATTAACGCACATTCAACTCAGCTCAACAATAATAACAACAACAACAACAACTACAATAACAGCTACTACAACAACAACAACAACAGCAACAACAACTAATCAAGCTAAGATTCTTGCCTTCCGCACAGCCTCGACAACTGCCGCCGCCATTTTCACGTTTTTATCAACGGTTTTTCTCTCTTAACTTTCCGCCTTTTTTTTTGAATTCGTTTTTATTAGTTTTCGCTTACGTTCTCATTTTCAACTGCCGCTCGGCTGGGCCTTAAAGGTGCAAAGGTGCTTTAGCCGCTTACAGTGAGTGCTGCAAGTACACGCACATTTTGCTGCAAACATTTTAAAGTATGTGACACTTGTGCTACTAATAGAAAGCAAGAAATAGTTTCAGTCTCTGTAGCAGAGCATGGAGCAGAAGTTTGCTTGCTCTAGTTCAGCTTGCATCTATCGCATAGAAGACAAGAACGCGATAGAATAGCGATATTGGCAGCAAAGTGCGTTATCTGCCGCATTCGTGAGCTTGGCTTGAGCCTTGCTTCATCACATTTCTTGCTATTTTGACATTGAACAATTCAATTTCTGTACAATAAATTAAATTGAATCTATGTATATGCATATTTTCTTGATTTATCAAAGCTGTCAAAAGCGCAACTTAAAAATCTTAAATAAAAATTACATTTTTCTTTTCAATCATGCAATTTTTTGAAAAAATATGGCTCGGCTTGGTTTTGGCTGTTCGTTATCCAGCTAATTCGGCTTAAGGTTCAGTTCAAGCCGACTTGCACTCCTGATAAAAATGTTTGCGATTCAAACAGAGTCCTTCCATTGCCTGCAAAGAACTAAGTGTTTTGGCGTGAACTTTCAATTAAAAGAGGAGAACAACAAAACAGAGTAATCATAATAACTACTAACCTCTTCGCATATAAATTTGTCTGGGCAACAATGAAATCAAAGCTCGCCATTCGCGCCGTTGAGATTTGCAGCGCTTTTAGTTTCGAATTTGAAGTTTAGCTGTATTTGTTGATGTCCTTTTCAGATTGTTGGCTATAAACACGTACAACAAATTGCCCCGTTTCAAGTTTCCTGCAGCAAGGCACGCACCTTCGCCGAGGCTCAGGCGCCTGGCACCTGGCACCTGGGCCGAGAACAGGAGGGCAACTTTTCTCGTGCAGCGCCGTGTTGGTGCGTTCGGACATTCTCAAATCTTTTAGTGTCTAGTTTCTGATGTTTGTTTGCTCTTTGTTTTCTTAATATTTCATTTAATGGCCGGCACATGGAGGCGATGGCAGTGGGAGCTGGCAGTGGTAGGTGGCGACCCCGCAGCGTCGTTACTTGGGTCGCCGTGATTTAAGCGATTTCATAAACTTTGAAAATTTATGCGTCGCACACATCTCAAGTTTATCCCAATCACGTGCATATAGCCCAAAACCCAAGTTGCACGCACACCCGAAACAGTTGCAAATGGTAAAACCCAGCAGCCAACTTCTTATCTTATACATATATAGATATATCTATATATATGTATATATCACACACACATCCTTAACTACTTGGAGCTGCCTCGTATTAAAAAGTATTCAGCAAAGTGAAATAAATATTAAGTTAGATATGTTTTCGTTGTGGTGGAAAAAAAGTCAATACTAAAACCAAAATAACTCCCGAGCGCTGGCAAAGGACGAAACACAACACAGTGCCTAACAAAAGTAAGAGGAAAAGAGCAGAAAAAGCAGCGAAGACAACAAATTGTTCTATGAAAATTCCCCAAAATTATTAATATACCCTTAATATTGTAGTTTTTTTTTTTTGAAGATTTGAATAATAGGTTAAGAACACGGATTAGCTCCAGGTAATTTATTTATGGAGAAATCAAATTAGCTTCTATTTTGCTAAGGCAGCTTATATCAGTTAGTTAGTGTAACTTTGTGGTCGTTATCCTGCTAAAATCATGAAACGTATTTACAAACAAGTGTAGCTGCATATATTCCAGTATGTATGTATGTGTATAGGTGTGCCTGTATGTATGTGTGTGCTTAGCTATCTGTAAAGGTGCCAATATATATATATATATATATATATATACATATACATAGTTCATAAAAATAAATTAATGTTCCTAGTAAAACCTCGTGTGATAATTAGTTAACAATCTAGATCTTCATACCTCATCCAGCATTACAACACATGCATTTAAAAAATATGCTTCATGGGTTAATCAGGGCTGCAAACCCAAGAAAATAGAAGTTGCTGGTTCGATTCGCAATGTGATTCGCGACTTACTGCCTTCTTATTTGGCTTGTAGGCCATATTTTTCGATCCAATCTTGTTTTAAATATATTTCCCATTGCCCGTTGTACTGAAAATATTTCAAGCCGTGAATATTATCATATACAAGATGCGGGCTACATTTGTACACTATCCAAAATTGGCATCTACCAAATATGCTTAGATATGCGCAATGCTTTGTACCTTGGAGTTTCTATCAAAAGTTATTATATTCGAAATTCGTTTCGTCCTTTTCGAACCACTATTTGCCTTGATTATAATGTAGAGTAAATAAAGACTAGGAAGATTATCCGAAATATCCTTGAATATTCAATCTGTCCAATCTCTGGTTTCTACTAAATTGCCAAACATCTTAACACATCTACACTGCAAATTATTTCTGATGATCTGACATAACTCCAGGCTTTCCAAAAGCATTCCCATAGTATATCTAGGATAGTTTTGTATATGCAATAAATTTCACCACGCTGTGTTACCTATGAGGTCGACAATAAGAATACATACAAATATATATATATATATATATATATATATATATATACATACATACATGCATATACATTTTAGAGATTCGTGTGAATGTGATTAAGTATAAAGTGCTACATCTTAGGATCATGTGATATTAATACATATATGTATATGTATGCACATGCATGCATGATGTGTGTATGTAAGTATATCCCGTATGTTCACACCTTAAGTGAATAGAGGATTGCGATACAAATTAAATAGATAGTGCCGTTAACATGACTAGTAACGTACAATCCACATCAAAGCATCGATATAGTACATATTGGTTGGGTTACTTGTAAATTACCATAACTAACTAAATACTACTTGAAGCATGATAATACCAAAAAAAAAAAAAAAACAAAAAACAATAATAATCCATAATAAAGCGTTCAGTGTTCCAATTCTATCATTTGTAGCCTAATCGTAAGGTAAGTCATGTGTAAGTCATATTATTGATAAATACGTTCATTCTTGAAATTTCGAAATTGAATTGAAATATCGATCAAGTTGGGTTAGGTTCGGTTCGACCTGAACCTAACCTCAAAGAGATAAGAAATACATATATATGAAAAAATACACGCATTATTCTCCGTTAAATAAAAACCCTATCATCCATTTACGCATGCCAGGCCATATACCAAGATTATTTGATTTACTTAGTTATATTCTAGTTATCATCACAAGTATACTCCACTGCACAGATGATATATAAGTATGTATGCATCACACACACACACACACACACACACACACAGACACATACTACAGTTACAAATGCAAACATATATTAATTACTACACACACACAGAGACACAGACGTATTTACCAAATTCACACACTTATCAAACGTAGTAGTGTATTTTAAATTCCGTATCTTGTATCTTTTATCGTATCGAGGACTGGTATGGCAATCAAACTCAAAGCATGCACTCTGGACCTTTCGATAGACAAACTCTTGTATTTGGTAAATCGAAATCATGAAAACAACAAAAAAAAAACTAAAAACAAAAATCGAACGAAACTAAAAGATGGCCAGATTCATGAGTCGGGAGTCGAGAGAGTCGAGTATTAGGCATTTTAGCCAAGTTTCCCCTTAAACATAAGTATTATTATTTTTATATTTAGTATGTATGTAATACACATAATAACTGTATATTTTATTAACAACTTGCGTAGAGCTTATTATTTTCGATTCTGTGATTTATATTTTGGATTTGATGCGTACAACGAGTGCTCGCATTATTAATGCCAGTGTCAGATATTGCCAAGGACCACTACCACATAATGTAAAAGAAAAAACGTTCTTGTTGGCATGCAAGAACACAAATGCCTATAAACTGTTGACATGCCCCGCCCCCACATTCCGTCCTGTTCCGTTACACACACACACACACACACACACACACACACACAGAGAGAGACACACACACACAACCACACACTAAACCAATATGAAAAATAAACAATTGCTGAAAACTATCTCACATAATTTTTGTATTGCACATTCATGCAAGATATGAATACAAATGTGAGTAAAAATATGTGAATATGAATATGAATGTGTCATGCAGTAATTCATGCAATATATGTATATATTTATATACGTATATAGATATTTTTATAGTTATATACATACATATTCCACCCGAATAGCGTTTTGGGATTGTGAATCGGGGGCAATGGCAGTGTCAACGTCAACGTTAACTTCTACGTCTACGTCAATGTCAACCGGGGCCGCTGTCAATTGGAAACTAGCACACACACACACACACACACATACACATACACATGGACTACCAATGGGAACAGCTATGTAAATATCTATTGAAACAAAGTAATGTCCGTGATTAATATACATGTATAAAAAATTGAAACTAATTCAGTCTGTCTTCAACTTTTCTTCACTCTCTCTCTCTCCCTCTCTCTCTCTCTCTATATATATATAAATATGTGTGTATATACACGAGTATCTTATGCTATGTCTGCCTTTATCTGTATCTTTAGCTCGCTCTTTAAATACGCACACGCAATAAATAATTGTATAGCAAAATTTGTTGATCCTTTGCATGTGAGATCGCAATATTGCATTCGGCTTGGACTTTTTAAACACAGGCTAGCTAGGGAAACCCGAAACTGAAACTGACTGTACACTGGTGTACATATGTATGTATGTATATGATAAATTCCTATAGATAGGATGGTTCTTTAAGTTCGGTTGAGGGCAGGCGGCTTCTGGAACAGTGAATCAATAATTTGTGTGTGTATGTTTTCTCGAAACTTTGTGCGGGCTCAAAACGAGTTTTGTTACTATAAGTATGTGTACATATTTGTCTTAAAAATTGTTGTGTTTTCTTTTTTTTATGTTTTTGATTTCCTTAATCGATTTTACTTTCTCGATTTTGGAATTGGTTTAGTTTTGTTCGAATTCTCTGTGAAGTAGTGTGGTAGAAACTCTCTTGTTGTTAATATACCCCAAGCCTTATACAAAATTATTGCTAACTGCATATCACATATTTTAATATATGTTTAATGGTGTTTCGCTTCTTTAACAAACAAACACACGCTCAATCGCAGACACAACACACACACACACACACACACACACGGAACACATACATAGAACACCATTGTATCATACACAATTAGCTGAAGACACATGTAAATAAAACACATAACGTATTTTTTATTCCAATGGATACCTTTAGCATACATACTTACATACATGCATATGCATATGCATACATATGTGTGCATATGTGCATCAAATACTACCAACCGTAGTTGAATCGTACGTATGTCTGATGTATGCCAACTCTTTCGCTATCGTTAAGGTAATTCCATGAATATCCATTATGCATATGCGACTAGTTGATGTATACAAACATTCATTCATATGCTTAAGCCGCCTTTTAACCTACAATTATGTAGTGGAGTGTATGGGACCCAAACAATATATAACTAAATATAAATTCAAAAATATGTAAAGCTAATAAGCAAAATTTTACTAATTAATATGCACAGTGAGATGGCGACAGTTGTTTCTTTTATGTTTATGTTTGATTCCGGAAAACCTATTTCCCTTAGCATTCCGCCCAAAAATTGAAGTGAGATACATATGTAAATATAGAAAGAAGCAGCACACATATAATTTTGAAAACAATTTGCCTTGTTCTAATTCCACATTTTTACATAGAGTTTCGGTTGTTCGATATTTGTTTTTCGATTTCGCCCTCACTGTGCATAACCTAAATAAAAAAAAATGCAATTAAATAGTATAAGATAAATATGTATATGTTAATCCAAGCAGTCAAATTGCAACGCACTGATCCAAACAATTAATCTACCAGATCCATACCTATTTAATTGCCATTTAACAAAATACTAACAAAACTATCAACAACAACAACAACAATAACAAGCACAAGTACAAACAACAACCGTAGCCAAACAGAAAACCAACCAACACCTTTTGCCCAAGACCCACGTCTTTCATCAATTTACAGCTCAACAATTATGAGGAACCAAATCAGATCTCGATTTTTAACTAAAAATGATGATTGCGGATAATTGGTTGTGCACAAAAACTAAAAATAATAAAAATAAAAAGACATGATATGAAATGAAATGAAAACAAATCCCAAAAGCAACAGGGCTTGAAACCAAGCAAGCAAAACAACAAATGATGAGCAAAATATTAATGTGATGCAGCAGGAGCCAGTCAGTTTTGCAGGAGCATCGTGTCGAACGCGCGGTCCAGTTCAAAGGTCACACAGATCCTTGTCCAAGGGAACGGCGAACACCCTTTGAATTGGGCCACAAGTTTGCCGGGCTCTACGATTAGATGGGCGGGAAGCGGGCCAGGGTTTAATACCAAAGTAGCACTGAGCTTTTCCAATTTACTTATTCTTAACTTATTATATGTACTTACTTATAACATTTGTTTTTTATTTCGTTCTTTTTTTTTTGGCGAGGCGTACACCTGTAAAATAACTTAAACTCTCACTGAAAAACAAAAATACAAAATAAATTAAAATTTAAAATATATACATATAAATGTTAATATATTTACTAATTTTTTTTCACATATACTGCTTTGAACTTTTTCTCTAACTTTAACTCCTACTACTTGCCACAAGTAAACTTTTCGTAAGCATTAAGAAAGAGCTGAATAAGAACAACAACAACAACAACAACAACAACATGAACACCTTTTTACGAGTCTGTTGTTGTTGTCCTTTCAAATTTTCTGTAAGATACGATGCGAATTTGTACATAGAACACAACAGCAAGCAATAAAATAATGTGTATATTGTTTTAACGTAATAAACAAACAACACAACACAACAAACACACACACTCAATACTCAACAATTGCTTAACGATTACGATAACGATAACGATAAAACAGGAAAAGGCATATTTATAGGTGTTTCATATAATGCCAAGAAACTGCATTGTGCCGAGTATTGAAATACAACAACAACAACAACAACAGCAACAACAGCGGCAGCAACAACAACAACAACAAGAAATAATTAAAATATTTAGCATAGAATGAGCGAAAAGCGAATTCGATAAATCGATATATTACCACAATGTTTGTGTAATTTTTGTGTCCTTCTAGGAACTTATTTCAATTGCATTATGTTTATGGTGGCCTCTTCAGTTGTGTCAACCATACTTATCCTCAATTATCATCATAGAAATCCAGATACGCATGAAATGAGTGAATGGGTAATATTTATATTTAAACTAACTAAACTTAACTAACTTACTTGCTAACTACTTACTTACTTACTTATTTATAACAACAACAACAACAAATAAGCTAAAAAGAAAACTCGATACTCTTTTTTCTTTCTGTTTTACTTTTACGTATTTTTCAAATTTTTTGTTCATTTTTTTCTGAGCTTTCTGTGAGATACTGATACGTTTTTTAATTGATTTTGTTTTTGTCAAAACAAAACGACAATTTCAACAAAAAATCAAAATATTTGAAATGCCAATAAGAACATGCAACACCCGAAATACTCCACAATCCACACTCCACACTCCACACTCCAAACACGCACTTGCTCAAACAACATAAAAAACGAACCCAAAGAACTGTATATACTATTTTATACCCATTTACTTGCCTATATATACATATATATATACATGCTAATGTATAACTTAACATATTTAAACTTTTAGACATTGAAAACTAAAACTACAAACTTGCATACATATTTACCTACAACTCGTATGCATAAACTAGTTTCTTATACTTTTACACTAAGCTGCATGCAAAAAGAAAAACATATTGCAAGTCGTTTACGTATGACGTAAGGGAAAGTTCAAAATGGAGAGTTTGAAAGAAGTACATTATAAAAGTTAGCCATAAAACAGATATTTTATATATTAAAATATGAAAACCAGGCATAATATTTATGGTTATGATTTTGTAAGCAAATGTCTGCAGCGGAACCTAAAATTTACTAATGCTTTAGCTTGTGACTTAAGTCCTTATCAGATTTATATTAATTTTTCAGAATAAATTCTTTAAATGCTATCTCCAAAAAAATATATATATATATAATATAAATGAAAATATGTAAGTTTCTTAAGCTGTCAGCTTTTTTCACTCAGCAATTGTTGCATAGAATTGTCTTCAAAAACTTCGATTACATTTTCTTGGATCCAGATGTGAGAGAAAACAAATTAACAAATAATTAAATATTCATACTTAAAGTTGATGTGAAAGAAATGCTTTGAAATGCATCTAATTATTTATAAAATAAATGCATATTTAAATAAAACGTATTGCCGTAATGTTGCATAGACTTATCTAACTATGTTCTAAACAGATTAATTTAAATACAATAATATGCCATGGCTGTTTTTAAAGTTAAATTTAATTAAAGAAAAAGTCCATAGAATAGAGTACATTCAAGCAAATTGATTTGATTTATTTGAATGATATGCTTATACTTTATTGCCTTATAAGTATTTTCATTTCTCTATACTTATTATACTTGCATACATGTGAGAACCAAAGCACAATAATCACACCGAATTTTTATTTTTCTAACAACTATTCTGGCCAACAACTACAACAACAACCACGTTAACTGGCAACTCTCAACGCTAAAAAAAAACAAAAACAACTACTCAACTCAAATGCCTCTTCAACTGTTTCCTTTTCTCCCTGTAACTAACTAACTAACTAACTAACTAACTATGAAATAACTATCTTCGTACAACTACAACAATATCAACAAATCCAAATCCCGTTTGTGGCCTCAAAACGCGTGTGCTCTTGCTTTCCTTTTCCAACAACACACTCAACACACTCACAACCACATGTGTTATCAACAACAACAACAACAACCTCAACCAATTTAACAAAAATTTCAATACAAACATCCTTTTGACTAATACAAAAAAAAATAAATAAATTTGAATAAAATAAAACATCAAATATAAAAATGCCCAAAACGTTAACGATTTCTTAAAACTAAACTTTAAATGCAAATAAATTAAAAACTTTCATCTCTCTATGTCTTAAACCTTGTGGTTGCCGTGTGTCGTTTTCTAATTTTTATCAATAACTACAACAAAAACAACAACAACAACAATAACAACAACAATAACAACGACATAAATCACTTCATTTATTGAACACTATGAATTTAAATGCAACACTTGTTAATCTAATCAAACTAAACGTAAACATAAACTGCTTTAAAAAAAAATACAAAAATTTAAAAAAAAAAATATACTATATATACAAAAAAAAAAAAAAAAAAAATCTCCAAAAATATACTTATTGCTATTATTTTTAACCGCATTACCCAACACACTCCGTCTCTCTGTCGAACTCGCACACACAGATAAGAGTAATATTCCTTTATTGGTTACCTTGCATATTGCGCATGCAAAGACCCGGACAGGTTGGCTACGAATGCCCGCCGCCGCCCTCGTCGTCGGGCTCCTCGAATGCTGGTGACAAAAAGCAACAGATACAAAACGTTGAGCTTAAGGAAAGGTAACCAAACTATCTCTCACTCCCCACCCCTGTCTCTATCTCTCTCTCTCAATCTCATTCTCTGATTAGCAGCTAATACTCGATAATTATATATACATATATATATTTGAATAATTCATTTGAATGATTTGCTAGCACTCATTAATGTCTCACACTCACACAGATCCTCGAAATCGCTGCTCGCCAACGTTCTCGACATAGACGACGACTTTCGTTGCAATCATCGTTGCGCCAGTGCCACATTGCCCCATCAGCCCACGTACTACAGGACAATGTTCAGGTAAAGTCCGTTAAACTCAGCACATAATACGCTCCGAGGTATGTCTAGGTGTATAAGACTCTACTCTACCAAGCAAAGCTATGTCTACAAATAGCTTCTACGCAAAAAATAGGCGTTAAGCTGCGATCAATCACGTCTGTTGTTAATCAAATCTGCTTAAACTAAATGTAAACCAGAGCAATATCTGGAGGGAACAGAGCGAGGTATTCAAAAAATAATATATTCTTTATCTTCATCTTTATATACTACATTATTGCTAAAGACAATCTTTTTGAGCTGCGATCAATCACGTCTGTTGTCAATCAATTCGGCTTGAACCAAGCGTAAACCAGAGCAATATCTGGAGAAAACAGAGCGAGATATTCAAAAAATAATATATTCTTTATCTTCATCTTTATATACTACATTATTGCTAAAGACAATCTTTTTGAGCTGCGATCAATCACGTCTGTTGTCAATCAATTCGGCTTGAACTAAGTGTAAACAAGAGTAATATCTGGAGAGAACAGAGCGAGATATTCAAAAAATAATATATTCTTTATCTTCATCTTTATATACTACATTATTGCTAAAGACAATCTTTTTGAGCTGCGATCAATCACGTCTGTTGTCAATCAATTCGGCTTGAACCAAGCGTAAACCAGAGCAATATCTGGAGAGAACAGAGCGAGATATTCAAAAAATAATATATTCTTTATCTTCATCTTTATATACTACATTATTGCTAAAGACAATCTTTTTGAGCTGCGATCAATCTCGTCTGTTGTCAATCAATTCGGCTTGAACTGAGTGTAAACAAGAGTAATATCTGGAGAGAACAGAGCGAGATATTCAAAAAATAAAATATTCTTTATCTTCATCTTTATATACTACATTATTGCTAAAGATAATCTTTTTGAGCTGCGATCAATCACGTCTGTTGTCAATCAATTCGGCTTGAACTGAGTGTAAACAAGAGTAATATCTGGAGAGAACAGAGCGAGATATTCAAAAAATAAAATATTCTTTATCTTCATCTTTATATACTACATTATTGCTAAAGACAATCTTTTTGAGCTGCGATCAATCACGTCTGTTGTCAATCAATTCGGCTTGAACTAAGTGAAAACAAGAGTAATATCTGGAGAGAACAGAGCGAGATATTCAAAAAATAAAATATTCTTTATCTTCATCTTTATATACTACATTATTGCTAAAGATAATCTCGTATTTGGTATTCATTTATATGCTGATCAATCAGCTTAATAATCCAATATTTCTAGAATGCGCACTTCCAGTTCATTGCGCAACTCCTCGGGCACCAATTTGCTTGCCTTGGGTATAAGCTCGGCGACAATTTCCTCTTGGCGCACATTGTTTACACCCCTCTCGTCCAGAATGCTGCGCACCATTTTCCGGATGTCGTCACGCCAGCCGCAATCGTGCAGGCGTCGGTACATCAGATTCCTTAGGGCGTCCATGTCTTTGTCGCCGAGCAGGTACAGCTGTTCTTCCCCAGAATCCGCTGTGGCATCCGACTCCTTGCTGCTGGCCATAATTCCACAAAATTTATTTCAATTTTCTTTCTGATATGATAGCACACGTAATAAGTATAGCAGAAGGTTTTTTCCCTGCCAGCCTGATGCCTTTCGTTTGGCTTTCAGGTTTTTCTTCTTCTGCTGAAAAGCTGCAGTTCTATGGAACTAGAAAATGTTCTGATTTTAAGAAGCTGCATTACTTAATATTAAAGTGAATTTTTGCTATTCTTAGGACAACTTTCCATTTAAAATTTGCTTAAAATAGGAAACCGGTTTTATTATAATTTTAGGGCGGCTTTTTATACGCTGAACCCATTAAAAATGGGTAAAAAGGGTATAATGTATTTGTGCAAGTGTATGTAACAGGCAGAAGGATGCATCTCCGACCCCATAAAGTATATATATTCTTGATCAGCATCAACAGCCGAGTCGATCTAGCCATGTCCGTCTGTCTGTCCGTCTGTCCGTATGTATGAACGCAAGTATCTCGAAACCTATAAAAGCTAGAGACTTGAAATTTTAGCTGTATGTCCTCCTAGTCCCCGCGCAGATAGCGAAATCCAGTCTTTTTAGCAATTTCGGCAAATATTATGAGCTAGAGTCACCAAACTTGACATGTAGCTTCAAGAATACTATATATATCAAGTATCTTTCCTTTTTTAGCTATCGCCTGTTGGAAGAAGAGGGTTCAGGGTATCCCCTAGTCGGGAGCTCCCGACTAGAACCTCTTGCTTGTTATTCCTTAGAAAGAGTGCCCATATATAAATATACATATACTTACTGTGTTTAATTGTGAAATCGCGCTGAAATATAAAAAAATTGTTAACGAAAATGAGGATAAATTATGCTAAATTCAAAAACAAATAAATATATTTACGCCTTTTTGTTCATTTTAGACAAATATTTTCTAAAAGTTTATATTTTTATCTTTTTTCCATATATAAAAAACATTTTTTATAAACTAGAAATCTTTCTGAAATTTCGAAATTTTCTAAAATGTAGGGAATCACTTTTTAAATTTTGGATAGTATATATCAGATATTCACCGAGCTTAGACCTTGATTCACTTTCAATAACAGCCGCAAACTAAGTATTAAGGAATATTACAAATAGGAAACGCCGAAGTAATCAAAAATATTAAAGAGTATTTGCATGTCGTTAAGACTGAAATGAAAAGCTCGAGCTACAAATGAAAAGACAGCGCATTTGATGTAAAAGAGAACGATCTTTAGGTGCGATATGCGCACTTGTTCTACATAATTGCTTGTGAATGGTTATTTTTTATCCACTTTCCTCGCCGGCTCCAGGATATCGCGCACACGCGTCTCCACATCCTTGAGCAACGCCTCGGGCACCAGCTCGCGAGCCTTGGGTATGACCTCGGCGGTGATATCCTCATAGCTGACATTGTACACGCCTCGCTGCTTCAGAATGGCGCGCACCAGTTTCTGGATGTCGTCGCGCCAGCCGCACTCCCGAAGCTGTTGATGCACGAGTTTCCTTAGGGCGTCCGTTTGCTGGATGCTGAGAAGATTCAAGTGTTCCTCTTCGGGTTGTGTTGCATCGTCAGATTCCTTGCTGCTTGCCATTCCACAAAATTGATTTGTAACTGCTTTTCGAATCAGAGCTTTGCGATAATCTAGATCTATAGCAAATTATAACCTGATGTTATTTTCCATGCCAACTTGATGAGTTTCTTCAAGTTTTTCCATTTACTTTGATCAACTAATAACCCATATCTGTAGTATTTATTTTCTTATTTCATTGCATTCAGAGAGTGAAGGACCTTTATGTGCTTTATATGTACATATTCCCAATTGTTTATGTATATATATAAATATTAAGTCTTCATCAGTTTCCTTGGTCTGCTCCTTGCGCAACTCCATAACCTCGATGGCGCTTTCATCATAGCATATATTGTTGACGTCCCGCGTATCCATTATGTGCCGCATCATCTTGCGAATGTCCTCGCAGATGTTGGTACGCCAGACTCTGCAAATCGTCCGTGTCCTTGACGCTGAGTAGATACGCGGGCTTCAGCTTTGAGTAGGTTTAGGTACTCGGATTCCTGCTTGCTTGCCATTATTTGAGAAAAACGCTTTTCAACTCTCTTATTGAATCTGAAATATACGATATAAAAGTCAGTGGGAAGCAACTGGAAAAGATGTCTATATATGTACATACATACATATTCTACGCCAACTTGATGAATGAATTGCGTGCCATTCAAATTGTTTTCTTCTTTGAAATGTTTCGCCGTCGAGTCTTCATTTCTCTGGCTTGGTTCGTATTAAGAAAATAAAACTGCTTTTGACTGTCTTCTAATCCCATGCTCTCTCTGAAATATAAGGCCATTCAGCTTTATATTCGATTTGAAAAACTGTAAACGAGCTGGCGACAATGTCAGTAGTTAAAAAAAAATATAGGATTTCTATTCTTGGCACGCCGAAGATTAAATACGCTAGTAGACATTTGACTTAAGAGTCAAGGGCATTACTCCTCACCAATTGTTCATATCAGAGTATGATATAGTAGTCCGATTTGATAAGGCTTTGCAGATATGTTGAGTTCGAACAAAATATTGTACAAGAACATCGAGCGAGACTTTCCATAAAGAGCTCTATGATAAAGTGTTCCCATGTTGATACGCTTTTGCTTATACCCAAAGACTAGAACATGCAAGCACCTATGTCTTGACCGATATTTACTATGGTAGCTATATGATATAGTATTCTGTCTGGCGAGAAAAGGACGGACGAATAAAGAGTTGGCATAAATCTAAACAGAGGAACTAGGCTATATCGACTTGGTTGTCGATACTGATCCAGAATATTTATACATTGTGGGGTCGCAGACGAGCGCTACACATTTTATGCGAAAATATTAATAGCCTATATGAGGGTATACAAAAGACACATTAGTTTGATAAAAGATGTAGAAAAATGACAATAACAAAAACAACAGCGACTTGAAGAAGAAACATCCTTATACGCATCCGCACTCTGGTCCCCATTCAGCAAAGCCTCGAATGACAGTCAATGACAATGACAATGACAATGACAAGATGTGTGGCGCAACAACAAAGGCAACAAAAATACAAACATGCCCCAGCCATAGAAAATAGTGGCAAGTAGCAAGTGGCAAGTGGCAAGGACACGCATTTAGTGACAAGCAGAACGTACAAATGTGACGACTGAAAAACAGAAATACAATCGTAATAGGAAACCCTTGAGGAGGAACCAAACAGAAACAGCCTGGGCACAGGCACGTGGCCCAGCTGTGCACCCACAATGGACAACTGAATTGGGTCAATAAACTACCAGTGACAATTACGCTGCCTTTAAAAAATATTGAGTTGGGTTATTTATGCGAAATTCTTAGAAAATAATGTTCACAAAAGCAAAATGCTTCCATATGCTGTACAAATCGCTTTCAATCCCCATTGCCAAAACGACATGTTCAACGAACTGTCTTCAATTGTTATTTGGCCCATTCTTTCAAGCGTGACATATTAAATTTCAGCTCAGTTTTGTTCCCATTAGCACTTCTTAACCTCATCTTCGAGCCAGTTAACTCTCTTTCAAGGTGCATTTCCAGCTAGATGTGATTGAGGATTAGCTTACAAAATGAGTTTTTTTATTTTGCATACGGAACCTACATTTGTATGCTGGTAAATGTTTCTAGATTAGTGGAGATTTAGTGGCATCATCAGATATCTTGTTTTCCAACATTTTACAAAACTGCTTTTTATTTGTTTGTTGAATCTAAAGTTTACAATAATAAAAGCAAATATTTGCAAGTACTGATTCGTTGACATTAATTTGTGTTTTAAACTCTATTCAGTTATCATATCTCAGATATTTCCCGAGTTATGTTAAGTTCAATTTAAATCAAAAAGTATATTTCCATATCGTCTTCAATGTCAACTTGTTGTGTTTAGATCTCCCTACCTGTTAAAAATGTATTTTTCTTGTCGACCTTTAATCAGAGCGAGGCATCGCTCTCTTTCGCTCTTTCAGTCTCTCTTTTTCCCTCTCGCTCTCGCTCTCCATTTCTCTCTCACTCTCTTGCTCTCTCCCTCGCTCTCTCTCTTGCTCGCTCTCTCTCTCTGGCTCGCTCTCTCTTTCTTTATATTTCTCCCTCTCTCTGTCGCTGTCTTTCTTTCTCTCGCTCTCTCGATATCTTTTTCTCCCTCTGGCTCTGTCTGTCTCTTTTTGGCTTTCTCTCTCGATCTCTGAAACTATTCTCGTTTTTCATACGCAATAGAACTTTCTTTTTCGATATCGATAAATATCGATTTGGCCGCCATATTTGTTAAGCATTTATCGGGATTTATAACAGTAAAAGATTCTAGTCAACTGATCTAAAATGCATTTCCCAAAGTGTGTGGGGTGCGGGGAAGAGGAAGCAAAGTCGCTGCATATGTGTATGTGTGTGCAAAAGGAAGTTGGAATGCTTGTTACATGACTCGGCGTCGGATGCAGGGTATCTCCAAGGCGGACACTTTCGCTAATATCGAACTTGATATGAGACAATATCGTTATACAAGCATATATAATAATGCTGCTCTCCATAGCCGTGGTGGTAGCCAGCTCCAGCCAGAGGCAATAAAGGCCAAAATGAAAAACTTAGGATATTGCATCAAAGTGTCCGAAGTGTTTGTCATGTCAACAGCAACAATACTATCCGAATAGGCAAATAGATGGGATGGATGAAAGAGACGTTTAGGATAAAGAGGAAAAGAAATGAAATTGATGAAACTGATGCAATGAGTTGTTTATACAGGCAAGGCGACGATGGCAGCGTGGGTCCGGTGGGTCCTGTGGGACCTGTCGCCGCCGTCGCCGATTCCCGAATGCACGAGGCCATTTCGCACACTTGCCTCAGCTCCTCGGCGGAGTATGAGCTGGCGCTGATACTCAAGGAGCTGCGCTGGATAACCGATCAGGTGGGTAAATCACAATCTGCCCAACTCACAAATGCTGCCAATGGATATTTACAGCTGAAAAAGGAGGACGAGACTGGCGACATAACGCGCGATTGGAAATTTGCGGCAATGGTCGTGGATCGTTTGTGCCTTATTATTTTCACGCTTTTCACAATTATAGCCACTCTGGCTGTATTGTTTTCGGCACCACACTTCATTGTAAGTTGCAACAAGAAAAAAAAAAACAAATTAAAAGAGTTTGGAACTTGATTTTGCACTCATGATATGCTCCTTCCAGTTCCCATAAATGCTTCATAAAACTCTGACGGTCTGCGTAATTCTTCAGTTAGATACAAGTCGTACAAATATTGTTTCTACTTTTGTAAAATATTTAAGAAAATACAAAAAAGATAATAACTAAAAACAAAAACTATGTAAAGAATACATAAACAAATGAATGCTTTTCAAATTACGATTCCTTTGAATTCGAGTCCTTTATACGTTTTCGTTTTATCAATAAAAAAGAATTTAATGTTCAAATTATTCGAATAATAGCATATTGTACGACACATGGATTTTCAGATATTTTCACGTCTACTGATGCCATAATTTGCATTTACTTTCTGCTTTTAATTATTGTAAAATAATTTCATTTCGTTCGGAAGTCTTTCACAATTATTCTATGATTTTCATTTTTAGTATGTAAAATAGTGTATACAAATATGTTGCTGTGATAGAAAAAAGTATGAACAAAACGTAAACCAGTCACAATAAATTTCAAATTCAAAATGAACAAAGACAAAAAACAAAAAAACTAAATATAAATGAAAAACAAAGGCACACACACACACCCACACACACACACACACAACACCTTTAATTTGTTGTTATATTCATTGAAATTGCTTTGATTTAATTTGTATTTTCTTTGAAAATGACCAAAAAATAATTAAAAAAAAAAAAAGGATGAATTCAGTAAGGTATAGCTAAAACCAGGCTTATTAGCATTCAAATTGGCAATTGTCGTCGGCTTGGCACACAGTCCCAAAAAAGGCACATAACGCTGTTTGTTTATGTATAAAACAAAAAAAACTAAACTAAGCACACTCTAAACATAAATACATAGTTAGCATAGCTTATGTCGTATCATGTTCTTTAGACAAACGTGTTTGTAACCAATTTTCTTGTTTTTGTGACATTTTCCACAATTTCGGCTCTCAATTTGCACCGCATTCGTCGAACTGCAAGAAATAATATTTAAAAAAAATACCTTAGAAAGAAAGCAAATCCATAAAAACAAAATATTAAAGGACAACTGAATACTTGTACAATGCAAACAGAACTTCAGTTGGGAATGGTTCACATAACGTTAATACTAAAACAACAACATGGCCAAAACCACAACAACAACAATAAAACAAAATTAAAGTAAGCTTATTTAAAGCAAATGAAAGATCACAAGCTACAAGAGCAGCACAGCATAACCGTTGAGGATAGAAGTCGAAAGCAAAGTATAAAGTTAACTATTTTTAAATATTATACATATATGCATATATACGAGTCAAATTTAAAGGTATGCGAATGCAAATTAGCTAAAGAATGCTTCTACAAAAAGTAAACTTAAAAAAAAGAGTAAAAAAAAATATATATACATACACATATAGTAAAGTAATAACTACAGTACTTAGTTTAAGCGATAGTTAAAGCATAGAGCAAGAGGTTAGTCAAATATACATATGACAAATACTTAAGTTATAAACTAATATAAATGTCAAGCGAAAAAAAGAAACAAACAAACAAATGATTTAATATAGACATGAACAAATTTTTAAACGAAAAATTTCAACAAAGAACAGCAAAAAGTTAACAGCAAATTCGTGCGTAGCGTAAAACAGCAAATGTATTCAATTCCAGATACAGATACAGATACAGATACAGATAACAAAATTAAAACAAATTAAAAAAAAAAAAAAAAATTTAATTAAATATACACACACACACGAACAGTTTTTTTTTAGTGTATACATAATTAGACAATTGATATGTATTCTAATTTGCATAACAAACAGAACAACAATGTCAAATGTCAAATGTCAAAGTCAGAGAAACCAACACAATTGCGCTGTAAACGAATTCTAATTTCTTGTGTCACATTGACATGCTTCTTATTACCAAGCACCATGGATATTGGTCTAAATGTACATTAGCATTAGGTCAGGGGCATTAACATACTTAAATTAACAGTACTTGCCTCATGTAATGAAAAGAACAATTTTTTTTTTTTTTTTTTTTATTGGTGTTTAGCCACGTAAGACACACAATAATCGTATGCATGTATGGGTATTTTTATAGTGTAAATGCAACACGAACATACATACACATATATGTATGTATATCTACTTGCGTGCACATATACATATGCGATTGTGGTATGTATGTTTATCAATTAGGCAGCCAATTACATGTACTTCAGTAATATGCAATACATATACACACACACACATACACATACTTATTAACAGCTGCAACACAACACCAAAAGCTGCTAAGGGCTATGCACAAAAGCAAAGGTCTTCCTTAATCTTAAAGCCAAAAACAAAAAAAAAAAACTAAAACCAAACAACTAATTAAATTACATACTTACTAAACTGAAAGAAAAAAAAAGAAAAAACATTAAACACAAAAATTAAATTAAAACCTTAAACTAAATTAAAAAAAAAAAACAAAACAATTACTAAAAACAAATATTTAAAAATGCATGAATATTTAACTAAACGTTTGAAATCAACTGTTAATTAACATAACATGAGAATGTTAGCCGTCTGTTAGCCTCACAGCGGAGCTTTTAGCGTCGGCTAGCGACTGCACATAAAGCTCTGCCACAAGCTGGCAACACGCCATAAAACTCTTTTTGGTCTAAAGCTTGCGCTGCCGATTGGCATAAAAGCCGTCAACTTGAGACAGGAAACAAACACCAAACGGAACATTGGGAAAAACGCTTTTCAAACAAAACTTTTGCTCAACACTTGTAATAATAATAAGTACGGGAGCATAATGTTATCAATAATGTACTCCAAAAATGTTCTCATTATTATTAGCACTAAAATTATTACTATTATATTATCATTGTATATTGTAATATATTTTTATTATTAAGAGCAGTATACAGTTATAGTTTTATTATTAATGTTTTCTATTTATTAATTGTCTCATTTTTTCTTATTATTATTATTAGTATTATGTTATTAATACTGTAATAAAATATTACTGCAGTTTTTATTTTATTATTATTAATAATACTATTATTATTATTTATATATTTCGATATAATTCTTGTTGTTGGTAGAGGTATTAGTAATGTTATTACTAATGTACTGAAATATTGTTTAAGTTTTTAATTTGTTACTTGTCTCATTTTTCTCAGTTAAAGTTAAAGTTTTTATTTTATTAATCTTAATCTTATTTTTCTTTTAATTATTATAATTCTTCTCATTATTATTATTATTATTATAATAATAATTATTATTATTATTATCATTATTTTTATCAGGACTACAAACTCTTAAAGAATTGTAGGTAATTCGGCTAATGGTTTGAACGAACTCGCTGGTATTCTACATTCCTATTTTTTTTTAAATTTTTCAAGAAATAATTCAATTTTTTTTAACCTGAAAATATGTCAAGTCAGATATTCTCGGAACCAAATTTTTCTCGAGGGATTTATATTTTGAAACAAACCAGCTCGGAATGCATATAGTTCGGTTCAGATACTGATTCATCTGATTTTTTGGGCAACATTGAGCTTTGTCTTAGAATATGGCATTTTCCAAAGTCCTGAGTGTGGTGTTGATTTATGCCAATGAAAATGGATTTTTACTAAGCAAGCTGCAAGTCTTTCACCTTTCAACCTTGCGCGACGGCTAACAGCTGAACGAGAACTAAGTCTCTAAATAAATATGAATACTTGTTAAAAAAAAAGGATAATTAAACATTTTAAATGCTTAAAATACGCACTTAAACCAAACTTAAATCTAACTAAAGACAAGAGAATTAACGAAAACTTAAATAAACTTTAAACTAAATTTTGCTCAAATACTTAAGCCAAGTTAATGCAAAGCGCATCCGGCTGCCGCGAATTTACTACCACAAGCAATTCAAAACAAATATAGAATTAAAAAAATATATAAACAAATGAAGAGGAATAACAATAAGAAACACCAAATCTGAAGCCTAATAGACGCAGTGAATCAATAACAAAACGAAGAAGAAGAAGAAGAAGAAGAAGAAAATAAATACAACTATTAAAGGGTAATTTTTTCCTCGTAGTATTTCCACGCACTTTTGTTGTAAAATGTTTTGATTTTAAATCGAGATAAGTTATTTAAATTTATAGAAAACAAAACCAAAACAACAACAACAGTTTTTGATGAACTTTTTTTTTTGGTTTTTTGTATGAAGTACATTTTGAATATGTATTAATAATGTAAATGGTTTCATACACACATAAAATGTATTCAGAGCAACACGAGTATTAGCTAACAAATGCGTTTTATAAATATGACAAAGTTTCAATTTCAATCCCATTTATGGCAACAACAGAGACGAAACTCTGAAATTCGCGCAGCTATAGGAAATCCCCTACAGGGGATCTACAATTATTTGTTATACCCTGAACCCATTGAAAATGGGTAAAGAGGGTATAATGTATTTGTGCAAATGTATGTAACAGGCAGAAGGAAGCATCTCCGACCCCATAAAGTATATACATATATTCTTGATCAGCATCAACAGCCGAGTCGATCTAGCCATGTCCGTCTGTCTGTCCGTATGTATGAACGCAAGGGTCTCGAAACCTATAAGAGCTAGAGACTTGAAATTATAGCTGTATGTCCTCCTAGTCCCCGCGCAGATCGAGTTTCTTTCCGATATTCGATAACTTGCCCCGTTTCCAAATAATCGATAAAAACGAATTACGGCAAATAATATGAGCTAGAGTTACCAAACTTGACATGAATAGCATATATATATATATCAAGTATCTTTCACTCTACACCTATCGCCTGTTGGAAGAAGAGGGTTCAGGGTATCCCCTAGTCGGGAGCTCCCGACTAGAACCTCTTACTTGTTTTATATTCAATTAGTGCAAGTCATTTTATTGTTTGCTTCTGTAGCTAAAAAACTAAGTAAGAAATTGGCGTTGTAACTGAAAACGTTTCATTTATATTTGACTCGGATATATATAGGAGCCACTTAACGTATAAGTACTTTCATATACATATATGCGAGTATGTATAGACAATCGCCCAAATAAATACTATATCATTTTGACAATAGAAGAAGCAGATTATGAAACTACATACTTGTAGCATAGGTAAATGAATTCGAAAATGGATATTTTGACATTATTTACGATTTGTCGATAGTTTGTGTCCCCTTCGAATGATTTGATTGATTTAAGTGCCACGAACTTTGACACACTCTAATGGCA